CCCAGCACGACTCCTCGGGCAGCCTCAACGAGAACTCGGACGGCACTGGAGGTAGGTGGCGCCAGGGGGGCGGCTGCGGCCCCCCATTGTTCGCGGCGGCGGCCACCTGTCCCGACCCCGCGCCCCTTTGTCGTTCCTCCTCCGCGGCGGCTCCGCCACGCGCTTCGGGCTCCACGCGGGGCCGCGGGCCTAGGCCTGGCTAGGGGGACTCCAGCCCGGAGAAATCCTCGGCGGCAGGATGGCGGCTCTCGGGGCCGGGGAGGGGCGGCTGCCCCGAGTGCCCCCGACGGGCCCCGCCGCACCCCCGGCCCTTCCCGCGTCGGCAGAGTTGGCCGGGCTCAGCTTTCCCGGGTTTCGGATGACAGCTGCCCCGGTTGGTTCCAGTTTCTGGAGCTGGGCTGGGGAAGTCTCAAGTGGCCCTGGGCAGTGTTTTAAGGAGGAGGGGGGAGACGATCGGCCCGAGGAAAACGTGGCTTGTTGCTGCTGCCAGGGGCGTTAGCCCAGTGTGCCGTCGGGGCGCACTAGTCAAATTCCGATGTATCTTACGTAAAAGGAAAACGTGCAGGATAAAAGTACCCCAGTATAAGATGAGTGCTTTGAGTAAAAGTTTTCCAACGCGGATCGCGCTCCTCAGTTATAGTAACCATGGTAAAGAAGTCTCTTGATTCCGTTCTCGGTAGTTGTAGAGGGGCAGAACAGTTAAGATTGATTCTACTTTTAAGTGACCTCAACAGTGCCGAGCCCATTCATTATATAGAATGTGTAGAAGTTCGAACGTTGAAGAAAAGAGCCACCGAGGAGTGGCAAAGAGAACTTGATTTGATACGGACCTGATATTGGGTACCTTCAGGTTGGATTGCTTATTTTTTAAGTTGTTGAGTTGCTTGAGAATAGGCGGGGTCACACCTTTTCGCACCTTGAGACCAGGTGCCTGCCTTGACGCTTAAGCTCTGCCCTTTAATCCTCTGCACTCATCTTTGTACTAGCGATTTCCCGGTTTACGTGATGTTTAACCATGCCCTTTCACTAAAATCTATCGGTATTCCCTGTCGCTACATGTTGGACAAATAATTTGGGAATTCAGTGAAAGTGGCCTTGAAAAAGTCCTTTGTAGTGCATTTCATGTCACAGCCTATTTATTGGTGAGATCTTCGGCGACAACAAAGCTAAAGTATAGAAAGGGAGTGATTAAAAACACTGGGTTAAGGGCAGATTGGTGGTCAGATGATACCACTTAAATATGCTAGTACTTAGTAGCATTCAGTTTAATTAACTTTCAAGTATGTTAAAATTATAATAAATACTCCTTTTCTCTGTGGTCGGATTGAACCAGTTTAACCCATTTGGCAGTACAATTTAGATTCACTCACATTACTAGCATGGGCTTTTAGAAGCATGAAATCCTAGCTTGAGGTAATTACTACCAGTGGCATCCAATTAGATAGCTATAGTATCAGTTTCTTTCAGGACTTAAGTTTTCTGGACCATAAACTGCTATGATTTTGTACAGAAACGTTTATAAAAAGGGGAGTACCTCCTTTTTTCTTCAGGGGAGAAGGCATGGGATAGCTCTGATGTAGCTGGAAGAAGAAGGGCCTGTGGGGGACAAAATGCTTCTGGAATTTCATTTTGGAAGCCTTCATTTTCCATTACTGTCATGAGAGGTGAGAGCACATTGTGGAGCTAGCAACTTGGGAGACTAGAGCTGGAGGCTCTTAGTTCCAGGCCAGTCCGGGCTACACAGCAAAACCTTGTCTCCAAAAACAACAAAAAGTTATTGTGGATGTGTTTATTGTGGAATGTGTTTCAGGTTTACGAGTTAACAGTTCTTTTTTGTTGTTTGTTTGAAAGGGAATGACTTTTCTAAGGGTGTTGGCAAAGATCCTTAGCTTTTCAAACATTAGTAGTTTTTAATCTGGTTATACTGAGTTAGAACATTTTCATCAACCTGACGTATATAATGCAGCCTTCAGATATGTTTCCTGACAGTTTATATTCACAGTGCTATCTATGTGAGCATCAGTATTGTAGAATTACTCCAGCCTTTACAAAAGTCAGCTGGTTCATAATAAATATGATTTGAAATACTTGGATGTTTTACTTTCCTTTTCCTTCTGCATCCAGTTTTTTATATAATTTATTTTTTGGTTTTTCGAGACAGGGTTTCTTTGTAGCTCTGGCTGTCCTGGAACTCCCTGTAGACCAGGCTGGTCTTGAACTCACAGAGATCCGCCTGGCTCTGCCTCCCGAGTGCTGGGATTAAAGGCGTGTGCCATCACCACCCGGCTCGAATCCAGGTATTTTTACTATGAGTATATAAATACCAAGAAAACCCTATTAGATAAATTACTTCTGTGAAGGAATTTGAAGAATTTTACAAAAACCCGTTATAAAATTAAAAAGAGCCCGGGCAATGGTGGCACATGCCTTTAATCCCAGCACTGGGGAGGCAGAGGCAGGCGGATCTCTGTGAGTTCCAGGCCGGCCTGGTCTACAAAGCAAGTCCCAGGAAAGGTGCAAAGCTACACAGAGAAACCTTGACTTGAAAAACAAAACAAAAAAACCTAAGAAGATGGCTTGATCCTCACACTAAGATTTGTATTATTGTTTTGAGTATTGATATTAGTTATAGTTCTTTCTCTGGTCTACTTTGTCTAGAATTCAGGTTTGGATTTTAAGCCTCTTAGGCCTTTTTAAAAAAATGCTTTGCACACGCCTTTAATCCCAGCACTTGGGAGGCAGAGCCAGGAGGATCTCTGTGAGTTCCAGGCTAGTCTGATCTACAGAGCAAGATCCAGGACAGATACCAAAGCTACACAGAGAAACCCTGTCTCAACCCCCCCCCCCCCAAAGAGCTTTATTTTAAACAAGACAGTTTTATTTTAGATTCAAGATTATCTAATAGTACTCTCAACTTTCATTCTCCTTGAGTCTGCCATTGTTGTGGCTTTTTAAAAAAATAACTATTTTCTGCTTTTTTATGATGACATTGTGAAAACTGGACTTAGGACTTGTAGACAAGGATGTATGTGTGAGTGTTGCACATGTATGTGGTGGATATCAAGACAACTCTTGCTTCTCTCCTTCCACTGTGTTGGTTCCAGAGATAGAACTGAGGAGTCTTTATTCTGGCCCCTTTTTGAGTATTTTTAAAAATATTTATGGAGACCATCAATACAGTTAATTGAAGGCAGCAGGTGTGCTTATTTTCTTAGTTCATCTCTTTAGTGAGCTCTTCAGTGACACCCAAGAGAACTGGTCCTGGTGTCTGCACAGTCCTAGGTTCACAAGAAGCCAGCCAAAATGCTGGACATGTGTTGCTTTACTCATTACTTCAGAATGTCTCAACATCATCATGGAGTTCTTTCAGATATCCATTTATAGCAGCCTTACAGACACCTACTCAGTGAGTAACAAAGACTTGGGAATAATCAAATCTACCATTTCTCTGGTATTTATTATGTAACAAGTCCTGTGCTAAGGGATTAATAGATGTATTGAATCCACAGTTCTTTGAGTTAGATGTCAGTCAACTCTATATTGTAGGTGAAGATTGAAGGCCAAAGAAACTATTGTCCTCAACATCATATAGCTTATAATGTCAGTGAGAGCTTTTTATCCATGGCTAAAATTAAAGAGCCCCCCTTTCTTTTTTCTTGATTTATTTAAGAAATTACCATATAATATACCACATAAGAGGTGTTAGTAACATTTATTTAATTTTTGTGGGTTTTTTGTTTGTTTGTCCTTGCTTTTCAAGACAAGGTCTTTCTGTGTAGCCCTGGCTGTTCAGAAACTCACTCTATATAGACCAGGCTGGCTTTGAACTCACAGAGATCCTCCTGCCTCTGCCTCCTGAGTACTGGGATCAAAGACACTACCATACTTGGTTAACCATTTTGAGTGCAGTTTGCAGTGTTATATAACTGCCATCACTGTCCACATCCATATTTTTTTCTTCAGGTAGTATGTCTCTCTTCCTTCTCTTTTCAATCTCTGGTAATGTATTAATGTAAATAATGTACATTATTTTTATGAAGTTACCTGTTTGGGATGTTTCATATAAATGGAATCTTATTATAGTCTTTCCTTTGTGGTTTATTTCACTTAGCATAATCTTTCCTGGGCTCAAGTTGTGGCAAGTGTCAGTATATCATCTTTTTTTAATGATTGAATAAAATTCTGTTGTATATATGTACACACACACACACACACACACACATATGTATATTTTACCTAGCCATTTGTTGGTTTGTATTTGAGTTGTTTCTACATTTTGGTGCAAATAATGCATTTGTGAACTTGGGTTGCATAGATATCTATTTGCATTTCCTTTTTAAAGATACCTAGAAGTGGGACTGTTGGGGGATTATGACAATTCTATTTATCTTTTGGAGGACCTGCCAGACTATTTCATTATACTGTTTTTCATTCCTACATGAAATCTTTCTGCAATTTCTCTCCCTCTTTACCAGCACTTGTTATTTTCCATTAAAAAAAAAAAATCACAACTTTGGAGTTTGTGAAGTGCTCAAGTTCTTGAGGTTTGCTTTGTGTTCTTTGAGTTCCATTATTTAGTATCTTTTTTTTTTTTTTTTTTTTTTTTTCTTCCGAGACAGGGTTTCTCAGTCCTGGAACTCACTCTGTAGCACAGACTGGCCTTGAATTCACAGAGATCCGCCTGCCTCTGCCTCCCAGTGCTGGGATTAAAGGCATGTGCCACCACTGCCCGGTTATTTAGTATCTTTTTATGTATTTGATGGCCATTTATATACTTTTGGGGGAAATGTCTTTTCAAGTCCTTTGCCTCTGTGATACTGGGATTTTTATGTCAGACACATCTGTGCAAATATTTTTCCCGTTCTGTAGATGAATCTTTTCATTTTCTGGATAGTGTCCTTTTTGTACAAATGTCTGTAATTTTAATAAAGTCTGTTTTATTTTCTTTCATTGCCGATGCTTTAAATATATTTATATATCTGTCCCTTGAGTATAAATAAATACATAGATCTGCAGTCAGTAATTCATTAGTCCATCAAGGAACATTTATCTTCTCAGTTAGTAGTAGAAACCCCTCAGGCTTCTACTCCCTTTGATCTGGGGAGACTATTAGTAGTGGGGTCCATTCAGTAACTCACTGCAGCTTTTCCCCCTCAGTGCACTGGGGCCTTGCACATGCTAAGTAAACTCTACCACTGAGCTACATCTTCAGCTCTGGCTGTTTTGAGACAGGGTCTCTTTATGTAGCTCAGGCTGGCCTTGAACTGATGAGTCTCCTGTTGTAACCTGAATGTATGGATGAGAGGAGTATGCCGCCCTCTCCTGGCTCCACTTCAGCTTCTTTAAAAAACACTTATTTTTATTTCACATGTTTGAGTGTTTTGCCTGCGTATATATGTGTATTGCATGTGTGCCGTGTTCTGGCGAGGGCCAGAAAAGGGCTAAATCCCTGGAACTAGAGTTAAATAGGCAGATATAAGCCACTGTGTAGCGTAAGTACCGAGCCATCTCTCCAGTTCCACTTCAGCTTCTTGATTAAGATGATGGTTGTGGCCGGGCGGTGGTGGCGCACGCCTTTAATCCCAGCACTCGGGAGGCAGAGCCAGGCGGATCTCTGTGAGTTCGAGGCC